ACTATGGCGATAACTCTCTCAGTGTGCAGGTGTTTTGTAGCACCATAGTGTGATGACGCACACAAAACACATCAATTTAAATCCATTCTGGGAGAGCTCGAATTCTTATAGCCACTAAAAAAGTGTACAATATAGCACAAGGCAAAACGTATTTTTATGGGCTAGACATATTATTCAATTGTCGTATATTACCTCATTAGGCCTACTCGAGTGACTTTACCTGTTACGTTACGAAGTAGCTAATCATTTCGAAGCAGGAAAGCCAACAAGTCACCTACCAGAATTCAATTGGTTAAAAAAACGCACATGAGCAATGCACAATTTAATGAATATTCACGGTGTGTCTTTGTAAATAAAGTGAGTTGGATTCACAGTAAAGTTATTGGAAAATATGTGGAGTTGATAGAATGCAGATTCGGAAATTTGACATGCTCTCGATTGAATTACTTAATTCCCTTGAGCTAGATTTTCTCTTCGGTTAACGAATATTTACATGGTGAGTACTCCCTGCTCCCACTTGGAAATCCAGTCTTGGCAATGACATATTATTGGCAAATCTGGTAGCCAGTCAATTCCATCATCCACAGTTGAACCATGAACAGATTAAATCTCTTAACATGGCCAGTAGAAGCGGTGATTTGAGCAACAAGTATCATCTTTAATTTCCTACTTCTTCACTTGTAAGCATCAGTGCGCATTCCATTATATCGGAAACCTAGTCAAGGTGCAGTAGCGTAAACTAGGGTCTTTCCGGAAAATTGATAAGTAAAAAAGCATATATCAATTAAAAATAAAGATAAAGTGGAAAACACAGCTTACTCCGTTGAAATGTGGCAAAGAGATAGCAATAGACGCGTTCTTTATACAAGATCCCATATCCAAAACACCGGATTTCGGACAGTTGGGGTAATCCAAACAAAAACCCCGATTGCGTGGGTATATATCCGGCGAAAGGAAAGTATTAGTTGAGAGTGTAAATTTCCTAGTGGAGACAGAGTTGATAAACACCGGTCTATCATTCTCATGAGTTTGAAACTCCAATGATCGACAGAGATCGGCAGAAAAGACATGAACGGGAGAAGTGATATCTAAAAATGGTGGAAAGAGGGAACCATCAGAACCGTTGATACTGTTGGCAAGGGGCGTATTCCAGACGGATAAATCTCGGTTGCCATTGAAGGTAAGAATTTTTCCAACTTTTGATGTGTCCAAGGCTCCATCATTAATTTCAAAATGAGCACCCACTGAGTTATTTTTATCAGCATAGAGACCAATTCTATACTGTACAGGGTACACTTTGTTAATAGCCTTCAGCAACGGATCATCGTAGCCCCAAATCATTTGATACACTGTTTTCGTAAAGAAGAGTTGGTTATGATAGAAAATGTGAAAGAACTCTTCTACTATAAGGTCAATAACTTTATTTTTGCCCACAATGTTAGCTACTGAAACGTAACCAATGTTGAGGACGGTAATGTTATCAGACTCCAACCCAACAGATTGATTCGGGAGAAATTTAAAAGTGTTTCGATCAGCATAGAGAACCGTTTCATTTTGCGGTGAACTTTGTAATATTCCTTTGCAAGTAACCTGTTCGTAAGAATAAGGCCCAACTTCCTTAAGAATGGGTTTTTCACCAGCCATAAATTCTTTGGTGTTTGACACAACGAAAAAGTAGAACTCAACAATCATTCCCGATCGACAGGAACTCCACGATTCAAATAGGGCAGTGCCATTTAGAAGTTTCATTCTTCGACTTATTTCACTGTGAATAACAAATGGTAAACCAACAAGAAGGCCGATGCCAACAAGTAAAACGAAGCACGATATAATCAGGCATTTGCTCATATTTTCTTCAAATTTGATAAAATTAGGAAGAATTCGGTCATGCGCAGTAGCGCGAAAAATTTACAAAAAATTAACGGACCTCAGATTGATGCACACAATTAAACTACGCTAACCAATTGCATTTCAGTGATCATGGTATAACGAGGTGATGATGCCCTTGAGACAAACCAATAGACAAGCACCTTAGGCATTCGTCATACCATTTACTAGCATTAAGTCAATGCAATCATATAGAGCTTAAAATACTTCCTATTAATTTATTACAAGTTTGAAATTTTAATTAGTTTGAAATATTTTCCCTTTGCGTTGTTTTAATTTTTCCAAGGCCAACATGAAGAAGCCATAAAAACAATTTTAATGGTACATAATTCTCTATTGAAAACGGCATAATAATCTGCCATTTTTAATGAGTAATAAATCATAATGATTTTTGATAAAAGTTGGCTACCATTTTTTGTTCCAATAAATAGAAAATTTTTCTTCTGCAAAAGATTTGTTTGCGAAATTCAGAAAATGCGTCCATAGATCTACCTTATGCATGAATAAATAGAATTCAAGTATTTTGGGTAACAATGCCATCTTACATGAATTGACAGGTATCCCCAAAATACGTTTATTAGGTCACTTGTTTTGTTTCATTTTCGTAGGTACAGCTTAAGGACAATTACTTTTATTTTCAGTTTGATTGACAGGAATTGATAAGAAATCATAAAATGCAAGCAGATAAATTATTATGGGATACTACTTTAGTGAAACGATCAGATATTTGATCAGCTTTTAATCAATTAATTATTTGTCAGGGGGTGTGTGATATACTTACCCCCCC